GAGGCATCTTGGACTAAAATCCACGAAAGAATACCTACATAGACTACCCATAACTAGAGATTCAAATGTGTTTGCCTTTGAGGTTTAGAGTGCTCACAAGAAGAGAACACATCTCGTACACATCTCACTTGGTTAATTACATCTTGGGACATGCCCAAGTGTACTCTAATTCTAAAAAAAAATTTACTTACATTAGTAGTGACAACAAACACAGAGCTATCAAAGGACAGCTATTTTACAGGGGAATGCTTTGATGCTTTCAAAGCTCCCGCTAAATTTAATTTACTCTAATGAACTCAAGTGAAATTTAGTTATATATCATAATCAATCAAACTTCAACCATAATAAATTTTCATAAACTCAACAGTGCACTGGCCGGAAACCCTCTTTTCAAGCTAATTATGGTGCTCAACGGTAGCGCATTTTCAACTACTTCAAAGAGCGCCTCATTCGCTTGACAACTGTTGCTCGTTGACCTATTAACGACAGTTTAGTCATGAGGGTTTGTCAGGCAGCAACTTTCCCTTCCCTTGTCACTCCTAGCTTTAACTCTTTCTTGTAAAGAATATGTGAGGGGGCAGGAGTAAGGAGGATGGGTGTTCTCAATGAGAGCGAGGAAAAGGAATCAAGGGTAAATTTTAACTTAGAGCTCCCAATTATTTTGAGTGTGCATTCCTCGTTCAAAGTTTTTAATAGATGTATTTTTGAGTTTACGATTACCTAGATGTCATGTATCTTTCGACTAAGATAAATAAAATTTGTGATTTTATTGTGTTGTTTCTGCTTTAAAGCTGAGTTGTTGATTTTTCATTTCTTCCCTCTTTTTTTATTTTTTGTATTTTGATCGACATGTCGTTGCTATCTCTCGCTTAGCCGATCTGATCTCATCGGTCGACAAAAATGACCATATCATATTGTCTGTTTGGACAATGCATTTCTAGAGCTGCAAAGGTCAGCCTGTCACCTAATCGATCTGTTCGAGTTCCCTAAGTGTTGGGGGGACCCCTATCAACCAAATTTCATGCTTGTAGATTAGTCTTGCAATTATACTCGATTGGGACGAGTTCCTAGAGCATTGAGGAACAAAGTCAAGTGATTCGACGGGCCTAACATCTCTGTCTTACCACATGCCTCTATTGTGTTAGTATCAGAAGCTGGTGTGATTGCAAAAAGTATTCTTTTTCTTTTTTTTTTTGGAAGTCAGCTGTTGGCCTGTCCCGTGGTTGTTGTTTCCTTTATAATTTTTTTTTGAAGGAGTTATCAGCTTGTCTATCATTGTATAATTTCTTTTTTCGAATAAGTCTCTCTTCTGGGTCATAAAAATGATCTGGAGAAGAAACGAACCAAAAAAGTAGGGACATACAACGAAGAAGACAAATAAAGAGAAAGAGAATATGGAAAGCTTAAGTGCGATAAATCTTGCAAGGATAGATCAAGTATGTTTGTCAAAACATGATCAGGCGGAGGCATCTTGGACTAAAATCCACGAAAGAATACCTACATAGACTACTCATAACTAGAGATTCAGATGTGTTTGCCTTTGAGGTTTAGAGTGCTCACAAGGCTACACATCTCGCTTGGTTAATTACATCTTGGGACTTGCCCCAGTGTACTCTAAATCTAAAAAAAATTTTCTTACATTAGTAGTGACAACAAACACAGAGCTATCAAAGGACAGTTATTTTACAGGGGAATGCTTCGATGCTTTCAAAGCTCCCGCTAAGTTTAATTTACTCTAATGAACTCAAGTGAAATTTAGTTATATATCATAATTAATCAAACTTCAACCATAATAAATTTTCATAAAGTTAATGAATTTATAATGCACGTTAATAAATCTTGATAAGCTTAAATGAATGTAACAAAACTTAATAAACTCTTAAAATTTATAATTCAATTGAAAATTCAATAAAACTTAAATAACTTTAACAATTAACTTTAAAATTGAACTTTAAAAACTTTAATTAACTCCAACCAATAAAAGAAAATCTCTAAAACTTTAAAAATAGACTTCAATAATTCTCAAACCAATTTTTAGAATTAACTCGAAACAATTTAAAAACTTTAACAAATCAAATTAACAAGACTCAAAACTTTTCATCAAATCAAGATTTCAAATTCTAAGCACCGTTTTCAAAATTCAAGAACCAAGTCATATTGAAATTTAACTCAAAATAAAACTTTAAAATGGAAATTAACTTAACAAACTCAAGGTGCTCAACTCAAGTGAAGTCAACCTTTCTCCAAGCATATCCTTTAATCTATGTATTTAAACATCTACCATCTCACAGACATTCACCGATGAATAAGAAAGATATAAGGTACAACTTTAATTGACAATGTTCTTAGGATTAATTCTTAAGATGTAATTTAATTATGATCGAAACACCTCCTAGGGATAGCAGACCTTATAATAAAATAAAACTTATGTTACTCTTGTGAGGTAAGGGGAAATTCTTGATTTCACTGGTCCATAAATCACAATGATTTTCAACATCCGAGTGAATAGATCAATTCTAGAGTGATATTTTTATCCTTCAAAATAGTATATTATTCACAAATGTCATATCTGATCATTTAGGCAGAAATCTTTCGAGGTCTATTGTGGCCACAATAAAAAATCCCACCATCTTCTATAGCTTCATATTACGTCTTCTATGACCAACTGACGCTCCTAAGATAGCCATTTGTGGCTCATGTTGCCAACTACTACCATGGCTTTACACTACCGCCTATTCAACAAGTTAGTGCTAAGTGCTAATCCACAAGCTTCACAGCGAATTACTACCTCCATAACAATCAACTACGACTCTTGCAGTCTGCTATCACTGAGAACTATATTCATTACTATCAAACTATGACTACTATCGATGACTAAGATTGTACATTCACAATGATCAACTTCGTAACTCCATCATTCCTAATTCAGGAGAGAGTGAACATCTACAGTTACCATTCATAGTAGATTATTTTAACTGTGCTAGACCTCACGGTTTTTTTTTTTTTTCTATTTTCAAGGGTTTTTAAATGAAAAATGAGGTCTCTCCTGCTGTTTACATCTCTTTAATTAATTGAGTATGTGCTCAGTTTTCGTTTAATGCTAAGAAGTAAAAATAACCACTCTGCCACCGCAGACCTTCTGTCACACATTAGTTGTAAAGTTATTACAAGGGAAATAAATGTTTATATTACTATTATGAATATTATAATTTTTTTTATTTATTTAAAATTTAAGCAGTGATTTTTTATAGACATTACATATCAACATATTTATGTTTTATTTAAACAGGCATTTAGGCTCCGCTGCATTCTACAAAATGTCGACAGAACAAAACTGCAGCATTTGGAATTATTTCTCGCTGTTTTGAATCGCGTATTTAGTTGTAAAAATCTGCTTATTATAAAAATTTCTACAAGTTATGAGCCAAGCAATGGTCTAACGGACGTCTAGCATACATCTGAAAAGAAACACATTAGTTGTAACGTTTTTTTTTATCCTGCATAAAGTTTTCTTCCATTCTAACTTAAAATTGTGCGAGTTTAATTCGTAATCAAGCATCCTTTGGGTCTTTTTGGGGCAACTGCAGCTTCTCAGCTTTCACCTGCAGCTGCGCTGCTTTAGAAAACTGTTGCGGGGAAGCTATTGTGAGGAAATTGATTGTCTGTTTGATGTAGCGGTGTGAAAACAGTTGTGACAGCTGTTTTTTGAAAAATAATCATAATGCCCCTATGTAGACAGAAGATAAAATAATTTTTTTTATTAAACAAATTAATGCTGAAATAATAAATTAATATTAATTAATTAGTTTTATTAATTTAAAAACTTATATTTTTATCAAATAATTTAAAACTTAAAAATATGTTTATAAATTATTAATTTATCAGTAAATAATAATATATAAATTTATCTAATTATGATTAATTTAATAAACATATGAATTAATCATTAATTATTAATAAATTAAATCAATTAAATTATTTCCAACAAACTCCTCTATTTCCTATTTCCTATTGATTTTAACCAAAAAAAAATGAAAACAAAACCATTTAATAAAAAATTCAAGAGAAAGGGAGAAGAGACAAAGTAAGGACCTAAGGTTACCCACACACACTGCAGATCAGCAATGCCGAGAGCAAGCGCCACCCATTCCTAGGGCTGCTCGTCGGCATTATCGAATGCCGGACTCGTAGGCATACACATCAAAGTAAAAAAGAAAAGCTCGTATTAAAAGCAGACCACGGGAGGGATTCGACGGCCAATGTTCCGCTGCGCGTTGGGCCGCCGCGATCAAATCGTTGCCTCAAACAGGGAAAAAATTTGTGTACGTCAAGGTGTACGCAGAGATGTGTACATAATAGGATACACGGGCGTTATATGGGAGTTACACGGGAGTTACAAGCGGATTATAACTTCCTTATAACTTTCATGTACATCAGCTGTAACCCGCGTTTTTATTTTATCCATTGAGATTATAAGATTACAGCGGGGTTACACGGGAGTTATATGGGAGGTTACACGGGAGTTACACAGGAGGTACAACGTTACACTTACACAGGAGGTACAACGGGTTATAACCCCCTTGTAATCCCCGTATGAATCCCGTGCACCCTATTATGTACACCCCTTGACGCACGCAAATTTTTTCCCTCAAACAGGGGAGATATCAATGACCATCGTCTAGCTCTCTGCGCCTTGAATCTAGTTATTTTTGCCCAAAGTATAATTTTTCAATGAATTAAATTATCATTATTCATTGACCTGTTCATACGTATTGCCTGGGAAGAGTTGAAGTTGCAAAAGCATCATCAAAAAAACAAAAAAGAAAAGGCGCATCAATTTCAACATGACAACCACATATCATTTTAAAGTTTTTATGAAAAAAAAAAAGGGTTTACGTACAACTTCTAAAAACAAAAACTTTATTAGCACGAGAAAAATACGAAACCAAATTGCAATTTACCAATATAATACAAATTGCAAACCCTAAATAAATCCCGAATTCATATTAATACATCATCTTCACAAATTGGCACAATCCGCTGGCGCTATGGTGAGCTCCATGCTCCTGAGATCGTAACCAATATGAAAGTTTTGCTGCGCGATATTACCAAATATATTAACTCCAAAGCCTTTGCTGGATACAAAACCCAAGCACATCGTGCTATTATCAACTTCAAAGAACGAATTCGCTCTCGGCAGAACAACCGGGGCACCACCGGAGAATTCAAACGTAATGGCCGGGAACTTGGCGTCGTCCCCTGCACCGGACACATTGAAACAGAGACCGAACACTTTGATCGGATCCACCACACGTGGAAAACTGACACTGCTCGCAACTTTCTTTTCGACGGACTTCAACGTATCCTCGTCAATTAAAGTTAGCGTGGTCCCTGAGTCAATGATTATGTTGCCCTGATTGACAGCATCCGGCATTGTTGTACTCACCCGGACGGATCCCTGGCCTTCCACGCTTATCCGGTCGAGGCTGAGGAAGTAGAATGTGTCGGGAAAGCCCGGGATTAGCGGCGTCGTAACAGAATTATACCCGTGTACAACAGCGTTGGAACCAAAATGTAGCCTGCTCGTGGCAGAGTCGATGTCGAAAGATGGCAGACAGTAGGAGAATTTGCTTTCAATTGCGGAGCCGAGCTGCTGGATTAGAGACAACCGGCCTCCGCCAAGACCGACGAGGCCAGCTCCATTGTCTACGAATGTGCCCTTGCTATAATGTGTACAACCGAACATAATCGATGGAATGGGAACGAGACGTCCACCGGTGGAGTCTAAACTCAAAGTCTCACTTGCCAGAGAGCCATTCACGGAGAACCCACCCGCGTAATTGTAATTATATGCGCATTCATGGTTGGAGTCGCAGCTATTGCCGGACAACGCCAAACATATGTCAGCATCGCAGGTAATCTTTTTGTAGGTGGAGGAGGCTTGCGGATCGAAATTATCGGGGTTTGTTTGATTGAAACAATATTTGCAGGGCTTGCATTGGATCCAAATGAGGTCGCTGCCGGTGTCTGCGATGGCGAGAAAGGGCTCGGGTGGAGATCCGACGTAGATGCGCATTAAATACTCGAAACTGTCTGGGCGGATTTCAGAGTTTAGGTTGTTGGTGGCGGATGAGAGAGATGAGGGAATGTTTTGGATGGAATAAAGAAAGTAGGATGCGCGGATGAAAGAGCGATCTGCGGCGGCTTTGAGTCGGGAGGGGGGTGTGGAGTCAGGGACGGATAGCGGGGATTTGGGTGAGTCACGGTGGATAAGATCGATGGAGAAGCCTTGCTTGCCGCGTACGAGTAGAGGAAGGAAGCATGTTGTTGAAAGAATGAGAAGACGGATTGCGAAGGAAGGGAGAGGGGAAGCCATGGTTGGGGGCAGTGCTTCGTCTTCCTCTGCTTTTATCACTCGGGTGGAGGCTTCAGGTATGATTTATAGGAGAGTGGAAGCATGCAAATTTTTTTTTTAATTTATTATTAGTTGAATGCGGGAGGAGGTTAATTTCACTTTCAGGGAAGCAATTGGAGCTTCCATGAAAATACGTAATGAATGAATCATATTTAAAAATGATGGTCATTAGTCTTTGGATTTAGACATCTTATCATGATTAAGAAAAATTAGTTTTTTAGTTTTATCTGGCACATTTTGTTGTCTAATATGTTTTGAGTAGGCTCTGTTTGGCGCAGCTTCAGCTGTGCTGCCCCAAGAAGCTGCTGCAAGGAAGCAGCTATATGGAAGCTGATTGTCTGTTTGGTGCAGCTGTGTGAAAACAGCTGTTCAGCCGCTGTTTTTGGAAAAATGACAATTTTGCTCTTGTTTAGTAAAACTGTTTCATATATATGGTTAACTGCTTCATATGTATGGTTAACTTTTTTATTATGACAACACATATTTAGTAAATTTTTAGTGGATTAAAACCTTAAAAATATTTAAATAATAGAAATTATGGGATTTAAAATTCCAAAAAAATCAGCATACAATGTTGACTACATGAGCTTAAACTTCATAAAAAGACTTTTAAATGTTTTCCTAATTCTAATTCCCCATCAGAACACCACAAGTAAACCGCTGTCAAGGGGTGATAACATCCAGAAATGGCCATAGAATAAACACAGTCAAAAGCTAAAAAAACATCTATGCCTCCCAAATTCACTAAAGAAAAAAGAATTCTTGCTATTCAAACTGAAATTAAAAAAAAAAAACAAATTGCAAAAAATAAACTTTGCATATCTAACAACTAAACTTTGCTTCCTTACATTTACAACACTCAAATCTTCCATATTGCATCAAAAAATACCATTTCCCAAGCTTCGCATAAATGAATTGTGTGGTATGTAAATATATAAGAATTATGTGCTTAAAAACATATGCAAATATATAAGAATTCTGTGCTATGTATGTAAAGCTTGAGAATTCTGTGCTAGATATGTAAATTAAATCAGACATATCTCTTACATTTAGGTGTGAGAAATGTAAATATATAAGAATTTTGTGATGTGTATGTAAATGCCCAATACTTGCTCAAATATGTTTTCAATTCCTGCAACAACATCAAATAAAATCTTCATTCTCCTTTACTTGCTCAAATTTTAGTAAACCTGCAAGAACTGACAATCTAAAAGAATATGAAAATACATACAAGTTGCAAATATGTGTTATTTATGTAAATGCCCCTACAACAGAAAATACTGCTTCTCGATAATATAAAAATTGCAACCAACGATCATTAACAAATAGCAGAAAATAGCTAAAAAAAATCATTAGCAAATACCACAAAATTGCAAAAATGACAACCAATTATCATTAGCAGAAAATGAATCACTAGCAGAAAATTGTAAAAATTGCAACCAACGATGAAAACACATAAACCTTGTCATTCAAATGAAATTTACAAGGCTGCTCCTGCTCTACCAAACTTTAATCCTCCCATACATTTCTGTATGAAATTCTGTGCTATGTATGTAATGCACTCGAAGGAAAGCTCAATTCCTATAAGAACATTTCTGTATTTGGATGCAGATATTCCCTACAACTAGTGCTGAATTCAAAATGCACTCAAAGGAAAGCTCATTTTAGAGAAAATAAATAAAGGTATACTATTAAATAAAGTGTTGAACTAATCTCTTTAAATAAAGTGTCATTCATATATTTTCGGTGAAATCAAAACTTCTTAGTTTCTAACTTATCGGTTGTGAAAATCATAAGATCATGAATTCTAATCTATACTTACAGTGGAAAAAATGTGTAGGAACATATATATTGTTTACTTAAACTTCCTAAATAAAATTCAATCTTCCCAAGAATTCCTAAAAGTTAACTATGACTGCATGCATCCATGTGCCTATGAAAAAAAATGACATCTTGATGAAATTATGATCGAGAAAGTTTTACTAACAGGAAGTTTAAAAATCATACCAGCTTCAATTACAGTTGCATTCACATATTCAACATCATTCTCATCAAGGTTCTTTTGCGTGCTTCCATTTCCATCAGATGAATATTAGAGATTGCAATGAACATGGCCACTTTTTTATTGAAACTGTCTTTCGACTAGGTATTTAGAATGAGAAATAGAAGCAAAAAAACCATTGGTAAAAATAGTTTTCTAGGAGTAAAGTCTAGACCAGACACCATACTTTAAAGAAATGAAAACAGATGCAGTAAAATATAAGATAAATAAAATAAGTTAGTAGTAATAAAAAAGATTTTTATTTAAGTAAAATATCAGATCAATTTCTTCACCAACTCAAAAACACTCTATTGGAAGATCTCTCAAAGGTCAAATGAACGCTTCAAAGACATTCAAAGAGTAGAAAATCTGGTCTCAAAGAAAATGAGGGATCTCAATGTCTACCCAAGATGTTCTGATCGCGAAGAGCACGACTGAGTATAGAGAAAAAGATGACAGATGATAGGCTTCAGCTTACAAGCTCCAGTTTCATCAGATAAGGCGCTGACGAACTTTTGTTCCCTCACACGAAACATCCATGGTATCTGCTTACAACCAAAGCTTAAAGGCCCAATAAAATCCTTACAGTTCTCTGCCGGATTCAAGTAATTGAAGCAACGATTCATCTTGATTACGCCACTCCAAAATGTGCACTATTGAGAAACGCGACAGTGTTCTTCCTCACTCTCACCGGCGACGGCGAGCACCGCCTTTCCCCCGACGTCATTGATGCGATACGATCCGCCCTTGCCTATGCCAAGACCGATTACTACTCATGCGGCAGGCGAGGCCGAGCCTTGGTCATCACCGCCCATGGACGCCTCTTCCCCCAACATTGCCTGGTCCAAAGCAGCAAACTCCCCTGCTGCCTCCCACGAACAGCTCATCTCCATGAGCTCCCTTTTCATCAATCTCATTGCCGACCTTCTCGCTCTTCCTATGCCGACCATAGCCGCCATCAACGGTCACGCAGCAGCCGCCCGATTCTCCTGGCTATTGGATTCATCCTGGCTATCAGCCACAATTACGTTGAGATCAGGGCGTACAGGGGATTCATTTATATGAGCCAGATCGATATAGGGATGCCAATTTCGCCTTACTTCCTAACATTGATCAGGTCGAAAGTTTCTGATGCGAAGGTTGTCCGCGACATAGTGTTGCGAGGAGCGAAGATGAAGGCTGCGGAAGCGCCGGCGAGGCGAAGGGGATTATAGACGGATCACATGTTGGAGCAGCGGAGACGGTGGAGGCTGCGGTGCGGCGTGCAGATGAGCTCTTAGAAAGAGATTGGAATGGAAATGTTTATGCTTCGATTCGCCGGAGTTCATTGCCGGAGATTTGCAAGACGGTGGGGCTGTCAGAAGAGAAATCTTATCCAGGGCCGAAGATGCGAAGAGGAATCGCAATCGTGAGCTCGGGAGAGAGGGGCATTATAGCGGGGCGGGGCAGGTAAGGTATTAAAAATGGGAAAGCTCGTGGGAAAAGTGGGGAGGGAGGAGGGATCCGGCGGCCCGCTTTCCGCTCCGCGTCGGGGCCGCCGCGATCAAACCTCCACCCCAAACAGGGGAGATTCGCGGGAGGAAAAAATCTCCCCCAAACGGACTATTTTGGAACGTAAACTTGAAAGTGATATCACACATTTCCTTTTATGGACGCCTTTGCATACATACCTCCCTATTATTATTTATTCAGATACCAAACCCCTATACTTAACTTTCTAAATTTTCAGATGACATGTATGTAAATGGTATGTATAAAAATTTTGCTTTATTTTAAACTGTTAGATTTGAGTTCTTAAGTAAATATTCTTGGTAAATAAATTGTTGATAATTTTCTATTTACTCAATTTAGAATATAATATAAATAACTAATATTATTTAAATTTATTTTTATGCAATTTATATTAAAAATAATAACTAACTAACTCTAATATATTAAATAATTGATATTAGAATATAACTTTATTACGTTTATTAGAATATACTAGTGATGCGTGCCAGAAGATCTATGGCAGTAGTGCTTATTTAGGGTCATAGCATTATACATGACTCCAACACATATTCCGATCATGAAAGAGAAGTAAATAGGAGGAGACGCCTTTAATTTTTTATGTGAAAAATCCTAAAAATCGAAAAAAACCATGGGGTCTAGTTAAGTTTAAATAATTCATTATGAATTGTGACTACGCATGTTCACACTTTTCTTGAATTTAGAAAAGATAAAATTATAAAGACGACCATCGTAAATGCACACCACTACTTCTATAGTAGTTATACTTTGGTTGTAATCAATGTAGTTCTTGGCTATACCAGGCCGCAAAAGCTAAAGTTGATTGCTATGGAGACGGTAGTCAGTTATGTGTGTGTGTGTGTGTATATATATATACTTTAGTTACGTCGGTTTATGATACACACCGTACCAATTTGTTAATATAATGAGTATTTTTTTAAATAACTTAATTGACTAAAGGCTACAAAAATTTATAATCTATTAAAATTATTAATTAAAAGATGAAATAAAATATATTAAATTCTACCTAAATGAATATTTTAATGTACATAATAAAATTAAATCTAGCCCATATACTTAACAACCTATGGTTATGTTGTTAAAGTTGTCAAAATTACTTGTTGTTTGTGAATAACTCATGTTTAACTCGCTAAGCAAAGGAGGCAAACACGAACAAATTTTTTGGGCTCGATTATAAATAAATCAAACATGAATAGTGATATTCTTTAACGAGTCAAACACAAGCCAACCCTGATCAGCTTGCTCAAGAGCGGCTCATTTACACCCTTAGCTGTGATGACGCCCGTAGCCTACAGCTGCTGAAGTCAGGAACTGCACGAGCTATGGACCACGTAGGCCATAATAGGTCATGTAGACAGTAGCGGTGAGTTGTGATGTCATTTTTAGGCCTCACAGGCCGTATGAGCTGTGGACCATGTAAGTCATATTTGGTCGAATAGTCTGCAGTGGTGAATTGTGATGTCATAGGTTAGCCATAGTGGTTGGAGTCAAGAGTTGCTAGAACCATGAACCAAGTGAACCATAGTTCGTCATATAGGTTGTAGTGATAAGCTGTAAGGATAGAGCTTTAGGAGTCTGGAGAAAAT